TTAAGGTAGCTCTACCATGTACTCTTTATCATTCAAATTGTTGATGTCTACATTATGCAACGACGGAGAACGATACAATCTATCCAAACATTGTATTCATTGAAACGATACAGTACGACGATTAAATATTTTTTCATTCATTCCCATCCAATCAAAAAAGACTTTTTTCGAATTTTTTTGAGTTTTTTCTGGATTTTGATGAGTTGTAAGATAAACTGTTCTAGTGGGTACGTTTTTATACTCGTGTTATAGCTGCTACAATACAACACAATACAATACATATTGATACGTTATGAAACAATGAGTAACAACCATCCAAACAGAGTGTTAATTATAGTTGTTTCAATTCTTATTGTCCAACTAGTTGTTGTTTGTGTTTGTAGTTATTTTTTGTTGCATTACATATATATTTCATTTTCTACTAGTGTGTTGCTTACTCTTCCTTTTGGTTATCAAAAAACATAAAGTATTTTTTCGCCATGACCTTTTCTTTGTTAAAGCCCACATGTTATTTCTGCTTTAAACTTAAAGCCCCAACAAGATTATGCCAAAGCTTTTCTAGCTACTCAACATGAACTAGTATGCAAAGCTTAGTTCAGTTGCAGCTCTACAAGCAGTCAAGCACTAGAGAGGTCACAGTATAACTACTATAAAATGCTTAGATACGAACCTTGAATCACATTCTTGTCTTGATCAATTTTCTCTAAAGCAGGAATGCAGAAGGAAGCAGTCTTCCCAGTTCCATTTTTGGCCCTAGCCAAAATGTCACTTCCAGTCAGAGCAATTGGAATGCTCTCCTCCTGGATTGGTGATGGTCTCTCAAAGCCCTTTTCATAAATTCCCATAAGCAGTTCACGCTTAAGAAAGTAGTCTTCAAACTCATTTCCTTTAGTTGCTGTCACATCCTGCAAGAAAAAGTAGCAGCGAAAAAATCATTTTTTTGTAAGTAGCCGTGAAGACAATCAGTAATGCAGAACAGCCAGAAATAACCTCATAAACAACACTACATAATTACAGAAGTTCTCCTAGATCCAGAAAAGAAAAGAAAAACAATCAGGGAGTAAGCAAACCACATCAAGGAAGACAGACTGATAACTCAACAACCGGTGAGCACAATATCATAGCTAAGATATTACTATTTGTGCATCAAATTACTGTTAAAATATGTAGAAATTTATACATATAGATTTAAAATGCTATGATACACATCAAATGAATAGCCTCAAACTCTCTAGCACTTGTATGAATAATTCATAAGGATGTTGTGCTCAGCCTGGAATACAATCATGACATGTAAGTACCAGAGATTCCTAGAGGTGAAGGCTGTTAAATCATGTGTAGATGATTAGAAATGTAGACTTACAATGCTACTGCTACATATCATATGAATATCGTCACTTTCTAGCATTTGCGGGAGTAATAGACATCTTTCAGCAACTCTACATAAGCAATTTTGTTTTGTATTTCCAGTTAATTGTCAAATGATCTCGTTCTCTAATGGATTAAATTAGACACGAGCACTTAAGAGGTCCTCAAGAGCACATTAGAGAGTTAGATCAATAATATCATGGGTGAGGAATGCCAAAAAGGGGAAAATGACAGACACAAGCTGAACTGCTTAGCTAATGGAAAATCTCAGCTAGAGAAACATCAGTCCTTTTGTCCCAAAAGATAGCCTACTTTCTTCGTTGGTTCATCACAATGGTGATCACTTAAAGGATTTTTTCTTTTACATGCAAGCATTCTATGACAAATTTCATGGCTCAAGTCTCAAGCTAATAGTTTATGAGAATGCTAGAAGGCCACCTCATTTCTTATGGCAAGTAACTTATGATTCAAGTTTTCAGCAACAATTGAGTAATGAAACTGCCTATGAAGGATGTGAAACCATTGTGTTGTATGAGAATGAGACAGATAGATGAAAATTGACATTGGGAAGAAACAGAAAAAACATGGTCCACAAACATACTGTCACAAAGAGAATACAATGTATTGAACAACATGGACAGAGAACAATTTCCAATTTACCTCTGTTCTGTATCGAGTATCAGGTAGTGGTATCTTCAACCTAGCCTTCCATTCTTGTGAACTGAACAAAGGGGAAAAGAGAAGAAAAGGAATTGATATATCATTAATCCCACTACGGCTTAAGAAATGTTCGACAGAATAAATGAAATAATTCAAACTCGAGATACATGAAACTCAAAAACATCCTAATTCTATCAATCAAATGTAAGTTTTGAGAGAACAAAAATCCTCCCTTGATATTTACTGTTTGCCATCAATGGGAGAATAATCCTTCCTTTCCCTATTAAGGAAAAGATACTAGTAATCCTCCAATTCCCTCAGCATTTTTCATATGGAAGCTAAAGTTTCATCCAACTTGCAACCATTCTTTGGTCCCCTTCCCCTTGAAAGGTCCAATACTAATGACTTGTGTAAAATGAGAAAACTAAGCAAGGCTCTGTCCCCTAACATTGAATATGTTGTCTGTAGTCATCATTATGAGATCCACAAATATCTCTTCAACCACAGCACTCTTAGAGTCATTCTTGGAAAAATCTGATTTCACAAAATGCTAGCACATGCTGTTAGCAGTTGAAGGTCTGATTTATGAGAAAAAATGTTTGGGAGTCTGGATGATAGTCTCACGGACTTTGATTTGGTGTATGTGGACCACAATGTAACAAGAAAAATATTTCAAGTCCAAAACAGACGAATAAAATTAATCTAAGAGGATGTAGTATCTAGCAAGCCTATTGCTAGGCTAACATGATAAGATAGCTGCTCGGATCAAATGGGTATAACTGCATTTAAGAAAATTAGACTTGCCAGTATCTTGCATATTGAAAAATGGCCTCTTTACTAATTGGCATATATCCTAAACCTCTCAACTAATAAAATAAGCAATCTGTGATTATCTTGAGATTTCTGGTCTACTAAGTCTAGTTGAGAGACCCAAAAGGCTGAATACTCTAGCTTGAGCTTAGTTATATTCATGGCCAAAGCTTAGTTTATTATAATACAATGCTCAAGCTTACCTACTATATTGGAACAGGATATTGGACCGAACCACAATTTATGTTGGTATACATGGAAAGTCATGCATGTACACATGATATTGAGGTCACTAACTTTAATCCTCCAAAGCAGATCAGCTTTGACTCAAACATAACATCTGCATACCCCCCCCCCCCCCAAAACAGAAACCTCGAAGAAAACCGATCACAGCCTCTTGACATTTTCCTACTAATTTATAATCTTTTTTTTTCAATCCATCAACAAGTTCCCTATATTCCAGCCCCACATGATGACTCAACCTAGTCTAGGTAAGAAGGTGATTTATACAAACAAGTCAGCTACCTTTAATACCATGACCAGCACCCACCAAAACAACAATTCAACCAATCTCTCTAACTTGACAGATTTTCTTCACTTACCACGTAGAAACAAAAACTACGTAATTCAGTGGAAAGTACCAACCATGCTGTAAAGTAATTAACAAAATAGCTGATGTCTGGATTTGAAGCAGAACTATAGTTCGGCAATAACTTTAAACTCCTCCAACAAATTCTACTATCTATGCGTGATACAACTACAAAAACTAGCCTCTATCCCAAACTAGTTAGGGGAGACTGTGAATCCCCTATCCATTCACTCTAATCGGGCTCATATCATTACCATACTCAATAATTTGAGTTGTTAGACAGATTAGGGTTCTCTAATACTACAAATTCTCTAAATCTCACACTTTTTCCTAGATTCTATGCATAAGAAAGTGAGAATGAAGGGAGAAAAGAAACCCTACCTCTGGTCAACGGCTTCGGATTGTACATTCTTTTCAACCTCGGCAACGGTGGAATCGGCAGATGGCAACTGGTTTCTTCTAAGCCACTGCTGTGTTTGCTGGTTCTGAAAATGCTGTTGTTGTTGTTGCGGCTGCTGCTGCTGATAGGGTGCAGGTCCTCTCTGCATATACTGCTGAGGATTTCTATTTTGAAAGTTTGGGTTAGTATTTGGGTGCATACTCCCCCCGCCGCTGCCGCTGCCGCCGCCGCCTCCACGTCCCTCCATCCCTGGCGATTGAAATCTTGGTCTCGGATTCATCACCAACTAGGTATCTCGAAGAAACTAAAGAAGTATCCAAACAATTATGCACAAAACTTTGTAGGTCGGCGAGAATGTACGATCTCCGGCAACCAACGGCGATACTGCTGTGAGAGACAAACACAACGAAAATTCCACCTAAAATTCGAGGAAAAATCGAGATGGAAGAAAATGGGGACAAAAGTGTCTAGGGCGTGGAGAGATTTATTAAAATTTCAGAGCAGTCAATGTATTTATAGCTTTTTCTGAAACGGGGCATTTGGCATACTGAGCACCGGCCTTTTACTAAATAGGACTCAATTTGAATTTAGTGGAGACTTTATATTATCCTATTCTTTCCGTCTCATATTAGTTGGTCCTAAAATTAAAAGTTTTAAAAAATACTTTATTGATTTATCCTAAAAAAAAGTATGAGATAAGTAAACTATACTTTGTATTTTTTTAACGAACATGAAATGAGCTAAAATAACACGACGGTATGAGTTTTTGCTATGCTTTGTATTCCAAGCATAGTAAAGTAGTACTTGTTATTGATGTAGGTATACATAAAGAATTTAAGAAGGCAAGAATTGGTGTTGCAGCTTTAGATGACTTGAGACCAATTGTGAAGATGTTTGGAAGTTCATGGCATATCTTGTGGAAATGACTGAACTTGCACATCCATGGAGAAAAAATCTTAACAGGTCGCGCTCGAGAACATGTACGCATCTCAACTATTCCATCGGATATACTTGTTATCTCCCACCAACACATGTAGTGGATAACTTACATCATCCATATGTTTTAGTTGTGACGTGAAAAATATCTATGAAAATAGGTTAATGACACTGTCCTCAGATTGCTCTAGTATGTCAATATTTTCAGTCTCAAAGAAGAAATAAAAGGAAAATATATAAGAAGAAAATGGACATACATATTATGCTGCTAACCAACTTTACATCTGTAATCCATATATATGTTACAATACAACTTACAAGTACAAAATCATCAAGGTACAAATCACTAATACTTACAATATCTCAGGAGGACCAGAAAAAACTCTTCCAAACCAAAATCAAGTACTACTTTGCCCAAGATAGCACAAGGAGTAAACTCATGAGCTAGTTTCACCATCTTCCATTTTCTAAGATCACTTTACTTTCCGCATCATCTTTGGTGAGTGATGCTAGTTTTTCTCTCAAACTTTCAACCTTTTTCTTCACTGGGGTGACACTGAGGGTAGCAGCAATACCCTCCCTTATCTCAGTTTCCAGCTCTATTACCTTTTCTGAGTTGGAGTCCTTCACAATCTCTGCCTTCAGCTCTTCAATCTTCTCGCTAAGACCTGATCTAGTCACTGCTCTTTCCATCTCCTCTTTAATCTCTGCATTTACCTTAGCCACCTCCTCTTCCAATTCCGGAGGAACAGCAACATTTGTCCTTTTGCGCGTGCCGACTATTTCCAGGTTGGCTGATCTTAGAACATCCTCCAGCTCTTTCTTAGCTTTCTCTACTTCCTCTACAAGATTTGTATCCAAAGAATCCCCAATTCTTAGCTTTTCTGAAGCTGTCTTTAAACGGTCTATCTTGGCTTTTACAGTTGTTGGAATTTTCTGATTAACTTCAGTTTTTATTTTTTCACTTTTGTTCTTCAGCTCGATGAGCCTGCTAGCCATGTTCACAGTGTAAAGTTTTTGCTTTAAACCAAGATACGCCCCAGGTTGTGACAACTTCTGCTTAAATTCTTGCATAATCTTATCGGCTTTCTCCTGCAAAGACTTGTTAAGTGGTTGATCCGGATTAGGAGCTCTTTGCAACTCTAGTTTAAGAGATTCAACTTTATCCTCCAAGCCCATAGCTATGAATGCTTTAGTCATTTCATTGTCTAGATCTTCTTGGAGCTTCTCAAGGACTTGGATAGTAACAGGATCAGATGGTCCCTTAGCTTCTAGAATTTTCTTTTTAAGATTTGCAAGCTCTGATTCCAAATCAGCAGGCGGTGTGTTAGCCTCGGATGGCTTCATGTTGCGCTTCCTTTCAGGTTCAACCTGTATTCCCTCTTGGAAACCTCCAATATAACGAAATTTAAGCATCCGTTGGTGAAGCAATTGTTCAGAATTCATCCTTCCAAGTTCCTGAATCAAGAAGCCATAGTGAAAACATGTCAAATGCAGAATATACCGAAATGTTGGAATTTGATATTTCAATCAACTAAGATCAATTCTAACGTAGTGGAATGGCCTAAAATGTTAAAATTTGTCATCAGATAGAGTTAGCAAGCAAACATTGGATCAATACGTTGTAATCCTATCCCATCTCAACCCACAGAAGTGAAATTCTAATACCTAACCCCAGTCCATCCGTGATACGATGTGGAAAGGCCTTTGGTAATTCACTGATATTTCCATATAAGTCGATACAGTTATTTCTTTTTCTAAGCAAAGAATTAGCCTTTGGTCTGTTTCCATAGACAGAAGGTATTACCGCCATAGCATCGAGAATAGCATGTTTAATCTGCTGAGATGCCCAGAAAGGATCAGCATGTGCACCACCGAGCGGTTCCTGCAAGAGATGACAAACAAAGCCAGCATTTTAGTAATGGCCCTTCACCATAGATTCTAAATCTTTTCCAACCTAAAACCAAATTAAGTATAAAGGTGAAAAGTATATAGATGGTGAGAGTTTTTACAGGAATAATTCCATCCGCTATCCGGAGCCTGTAATGTTCCTGAGCTGTGATCCTCAGCTTCTCAGCTGCCTATTCAATCAGAATTTCAGTAATGATAACCCATTTTTTTCACAAACTTGAACAACTTTCTCGTATACCTTTGGAGCTGCTTGTGAAGATTTCCATAATATTGCAGCACAAGCTTCAGGACTGGTCAGAGAAGCATAAACTTTGTAAAGATATAGCAAAGACTATATTCAAGGAAACAATGCAAGAAGTGTAAAAGAAACAACAACAAAATCTATGCCTCAACACATGTACAATGTGTCCGCGTCTTTAAGCTAACACAACATGTTTTTGGTCCTTGATATAGTAAGATGAGAGTTCATATCTTGCTTATATTTCTGCAGGCACAAAAATTATTTTTGAACTTGGAACTTTTCTTATTCTTCAAATTGTCAAATGCCTGATAAGTAGCAAAATAAAGTTATGGAAGAAGTACAAATGAACCAAACTTACCTAGCAACATAAAATGCTGAGTTTTCCAACATTAACAACTTGTTTGCACATCCAATGGCAAGAGCGCCGCCTGAACCACCTTCACCAGTTACAACCGTTATGATTGGAACTTTCAGCCCGAACATTGCCCTTAAATTGTAGGCTATTGCCTCACCCTGCATGAAAATATTGGAGGTGATTATAGATTCTACATGACCAGTTAAACGTAATCTAATAACACAATATTTGAAAGTCAAGGTAAAGACTCACACCTGACCTAGCTCTTCAGATCTTAAATCAGCAAAAGCCCCTGGAGTGTCTACAAATGTAACAATAGGGAAGCCATGATGATCAGCATATTTCATCATTCTCAAAGCCTTTCTGTAGCTGCAAGGCGAAGACTTAGTAGTTATCAATCCATCTTTTTCCTGAACCAACTTTGAGGTATCAAATTAAACAATTTTCCCCTATAAACAACTGAACGTTGCATAGGCTCTCCAAAACCCTGATGACTTGAGCAACAAAATTAAATTGGAAACATGTAGAAAGGCTAATGAGCAACAACTACAGCCTAGCTTGTTGCTAGATTAATGAAAAAAACACCTCAATTTAACCTGTTATTGCCCACAGAACAGATTAACTACGAATGCTTAATGATAGTAGTTAGTAATAATGCTGTGAAAGAGAATTCTTGAAGCATACCCATGAGGGGTTGGCATTGCAAAGTTCCGCATGATGTTTTCTTTTGTATTTCTACCTTTCTGATGACCAATGAAGAGGTAACTTCTACCTTCAATGCTCCCAATGCCAGTCACCATGGCTGGATCATCATAGCCAGCACGATCTCCATGGAGCTCTACCCACTTCATGCACGACATAGGAGTGAGATTACTCGAGTTGTCAGAAAAGCTGCTAATAACAATAGTGAAAAGAGAAGAAAATCACAAGGTATACCTTCTCTGTCATATTTAGTATATGATCTAGAACAGTTGGTCTATTAGGGTGTCGAGCAATTTGGAGCCGTTGGATGGGTGTCAAATGAGTGTACAAATCCCTCAGGGCCTGAAAGTATGGCATATGTATCAAATGGAACAGGAAAGTGTTGGTCAAATAATCATATTTGCACAGGTATAACCATTAATCTGATGCTTACTATATGCTAAGTATACAGATTATCATAAGTTGGTAATACAAGGAAAACAAAGTTAATTCCCCTCTTTAAGATCATATTAGTTCAAAACTAACGTAAATTTTGATAAACACACATACTTATACAACCAGCTACCTATTGTAAGAGTCAGGTGAATTTACCTGTTGATACTTAGCTTCCAAAGCATAAATCTGATCAGTGAAATCTAGTCCAGTGTCTTCGGCCATTCTACGTACCTGAACAAGAAATGAATTTGAATAAAGCATTAGTTCTATGATTCTAGTAACTACTATCAGTACCACAAGATTCTACCTTTCTATTGCCATAATCATGAAGTAGCCACATTGCACCAAATACTTAGCTTTTTCAGCAGTACATTAATGTCATGGCATATAAGATAGGTGTGGATCAATTTCATTATGAAATGTAATTGTTCCTAACCAAGCATCATTTGTAAGCAAGTCACCTCAATAAGCTGCTTCTCTAAATTAACCAATGGCTTCTCAAAGGCAAGTGTGACTGGTTTCGGTTTCTCATCAAGAGGCTTAAAGTAGGAAAGATACTTTAAGGGTGTCTTAGTGTCTGGATCAATATCACCATGCCACGGGTAATCCTGCTTCTTCCACTTTTTTATTTCAGCACCAATGCGAAACTTCTTCCTCGTCCTCACTTTGGGACTTCCCAAATCCTTAAAATTCAGGCCATACAACCTTTTGGTAAGAAACTCACTCCCAAGAGACAAGTGTGGCACAAATTCAGAACTCAGGTCCGCTGCATTTCTACCTTTTCCACAATTCCCAACTGCTAGAGATAAGGAGGCCATCTACCCTTTGAATGTGCAAACTGCAATGCCTTACAACCCAAATATCTACAATAGCCACACAGAGAAACAAAATTAACAATGAACCTGCAAAAAGGAGAAATTAACATCAATTACTCATTCCACTATGGTGACATGAGTAGGAGTCGGGGGCGGAGCTAGCTTGAAGAAGGGGGTTCAATCGAACCCCCCTGTGCAAACAGGCAAAAACTAGTCATTTTTGGTGATATATAAGCTATTGAGAGGAATGGAGAAAATTGTGAGAAACCAAACTCCCTCAACGTAATGGGAAGTTCTAGTAAAGTGGCAAAGGGAGTTCAAAAATTGCTTTAGGTCATAGATTAAAATCCTAGATGTGACCATTTTTGAATCCTCTTGTATAAATTCCTAGCTCTGCCACTAATAGGAGCTGTACTTAGGGAAGACATTTACTGAGATAACAATAAATAGTACTAATCAGAAAGGGTTTTATCAACAAGAACATCGACCCACAAGTGGGAGCTGGGAGGGTAGAGTGTACGCAAACCTTACTCCTACCTTATGAACTAGAAAGACTGTTTCAAAAGAGTTCTATCATTAAGAAATAATCATTTAAGTTCCATCAATTACCCAATTTCCAAACATTTCAAGAACAAGACTTGAAACTTGACTGAGACAAAGATTTCATCTTTATACTAAGGCATCACAAATAAACAACAACCCTGAAGAGCCCACATACATAAGCAACAAAAGCCAATACAGAGCTCAATTCTTGATTAATAGTAAGAATTCTAAGGATATCAAAGGAGAATTTTACAACTGGATAGACAAATTATGCATACAAAAATACATTTAGGCATGTAGGACAACACTATAATCCTAGAAATATCAACAACATACTCAGTAAACCCACAAGTGAGGTCTGGAAAGGGTAGAATGTAGGTGGATCTTACCACTAGCCGGTGAAGGTAGAGAGACTGTTTTCGAAAACACTTGACATGAAATATGGAGCAGAAAATTCTGGGGTTCTCCTTTCTTTATCAGCTAGTATGCTCTTTGTTGTTCAAGAACATGAATGAACGACTGAGATTTAAGTATATATGTATCACCTATATACAAACAAAAGTTTTTTTTCCTGTAGATGATATAATGGATAGTATTGTTGGAGTATTTGGAAAAGCCATGGAGGTCCCCGCCAAAACATGGACAAGTAAGTTTGGCCTTTTGGGGAGACAAATATTGGTTGAGCTGATTGTTACACAATACCTAATGTTTATCCAAAATGTTCCACACACACATCTTTTTTTTAAAAAAAAAAACATAGGAGATGAGGACAGAGATGAACCCGAGATTTGAAGACTTTGGGTGTGATTTTTTAGCTTGTACCAACAACACAATGAGACTCATATGTTTCTCGTAGGTGCACTATTAATTATATCTAAATTGTAATTAAATAATTTAGAGTGTGTTTGACTATGAAAATTGTAAATATTTGAAAAATGATATCTAAAATTTAGAGTTGTAGTTTGAATAGAAAATAAATTTAGTATGTTTTTCAAATTCTAGAAAAATTCAACATTCAATTTTTGGAATTCTATGACAAATGTGTTTTCCAAAGATCAACTCCGAGGGATAAAAAAATCATGATTAAACGTTTTGAATTAATTGAGCTCGAGATGCTTTTTAAAATTGATTAGTTAAAAACAAATTGCATCTTATTAGAAAATATTTTTTTCAAAATAAATTAATTTTAAAAATTTGAAAATTCAAGCCACGTAACACAAAATAAAATAATTTCAATTATTATTATAGAATATATAGCCCACAATTATTAGAGTTGTGATTTGTTTTAGCGATTGATATGTCAAATTAATTAGAATTTGTGTGAGTGAATCGATTTATCATTTATGACTCGATTAAATATAGATTCATCGCTAACAAACATTTTGCAGGAATAATCATTTGAAGGATATCTATTTAAAATTATGAAATATTTAATGTTTAATCATTTCATAATTATTAAAAATTTTAAAAAGAGAGAAGGAGAAGGTGAAGGGATCACCCGATGAAAATCACATTCTTTTTAATAAAATGTAAATTTAAATAATCAATCAATAAAATTATAAAAATTTCGCATAAATAATTTACTTATAACTTATAAGGCTGAAATTGAAAATTTTAATGTATGAAGTCATCTCTATGTCATGTTTGAACTTTGAAGTAAACATAGTCATCGTGTGTTTTTTTAGTAACCTGTTTCCATGAATTTTGTATGTTAAAATATTAACGGAAAGACCTTAGAGTCCCTTTGCTTGATTTAGATTGTTAATTGGATATTTTTACTGATGATTTTATTTTGATCATATGTTTAAAAAATAGTTATAATTGTAAAATTTAAAACTATACATAAATAATGTCACAGACTTTCTATGGTAAAATTTGAAACTCTGTGATAATATTACGATTAAAGAAAAAATTATTTGAATCTCAAAATTAGAAAGATATAAAATTAAGACGGAGAAAGTCTATGACATTAATTTTGAGATTCAAATAAATTTTCCTTTAATCGTAATTTTTTCATAGTCATTCAAATATTTTGAATTGTAAATTATTGTGACTTATAATACTTTTTATGTAGTTTCTAAATATATAAAATTTTAAAACCTTCATGTCTGAACTTTCGATCAAACTAAATAGATTTGATTTTTGAGATTCAAATTATATCACATAAATTGAAATAAAGAAAATAATTTAAATACACGCTAAGAGTTGCTACTAGCAAATTTACTTCACCGCTCCTATAGACTATAGTTTTTCATTATTTTTTATTTTTGTTGTTTGATTAGAAATAAGTTATTCAAAGAGTAATTATTCAGTTATTTCAAGATAAGTTATTCACCATATATAGAGAATAATTTATCTTATCACTATAACAAAAATGAAGGGATGAATAATTGAAGGGCTATCTAATACCTCCAACCAAACTGATCAGACATTTTATCCTCAAACTATTATAATTTATACCTTATACCTCACATGAAAAAGTTATTTATTTTTACTCCCTCGGGTATAGTATATTCGTTAAACTGGTCCTACAAACTTTACGATATGCATTGCCACGACTCAGATACTATATTACTTATTAGACCACGTAGAGCAGCAGTGGCAAAATTCTTTTTGAATTCTCTAACGAGCCGGCGAAAGGGACTACCAAAAACTCAGATACTTCTGCCAATTTTTCAATCTCAACCGTAATTTCAAGGTACTCTCATCTTTTTTTATTCTATTGAATTCCAATTTCTTTATGCATCTGTGTTGCTAAGAAGTTCATTTTTTATTTTTTTTTGATGAATCCATAAAATTTTTAGCATCAATGTTTAGCAGAAGGAATTGATTATTGAACGATTGATAGGGTTAGTTCTTGTACTCTGACTTGATTGTAGTTACAATGCTGAGCTTTTTACATTATGTAACTTAAGCTGGGATTATATAGTGCTAATTTCTAATTGTAAGACCCGTTTTGTGTTGTTGTTCATGGTGTTGTAATTAATTATCAGGTTGTAATGGAAGAACTAGGTGTTGATACACCTGTGAGTTATGACTGTGAGATCAGACTGGTTAGTTTTTTTTTTTTTATACTACTAGTGCACGTACAATTGTAATGGAAAGAGGGAAAAGGAAACTAAATGACATGTTCTATAATTCATGAAATTGTAGAGGGTGAATCCTCAAAGGCGAAAGGAAAAGGTTTACGTAGGTTGTGGTGCTGGATTTGGAGGTGATCGACCAATAGCAGCGTTAAAGCTACTTCAGAGGGTGAGGGAGTTGGATTATTTAGTGCTGGAATGCCTAGCAGAGCGTACCCTGGCTGAGCGGTATCAGGCCATGAAATGTGGTGGCGAGGGTTATGATCCCCGTAGTATGTTTTTCTTATTAAGTCTTACTTTTGTTTCATTACAGAGAAGCATTCCAAGTTCTTTATCTGGTTTGTCTATATGTCAGTATGATAGAAATGTGATAATTTTGCTTGTTTGGTGATAACTGATTACTAGCAGTTTGGTATAGTCTCAGAGTGGATGCAACTGCTCTTACCTTTGGCTGTGGAGAATGGAGTTTGCATTATTACAAACATGGGTGCAAGTATGTGATATGCCTAGATTTCCCTTGTCTGTCTTTCTTGCACTTTTTTGTTTTCTGTAGAAATTGCCTTTGTTTTCTCTATCGAATAAATATTTTCTCTTTGGAAATATGGGGAATAGATGATCCATTTGGCGCTCGGGATGAAGTTTTACGACTTGCAAGCGGACTGGGCATCTCTATAACTGTTGGTCTGGCTCATCAAGTTTCTGTAGTTAGATCAGGTGAAGCTTGAATTTCAAAGATGAAATAAGCTGATGTACTAACTGCATGTCATCCATTTCCTCATTCTTCCTTTGAGCTGCACAACCATGTCATACTTATAGAATTCTTTTGGGGTACATTCAGATTTGGAGGAGCACCTTAAACACGTTGATGTAAGATTTGGCAATATACAATATTTTCAATGGTACATGTCAGCATCATTTATTCCATCAAGTACAAAAATTGTGCTGTGCAGGTCTTGTTTCTTATTTTTCTGATGCTTCTGGGTGGGTTCATATGTTAAATCTTAATTGAGTGATCATTTTATCCTTGTTCTGTAGATCCTTGGGTACATAAGTATTACGATTATAGTAGCACCCTTTTTCCCTTTTTTTTTCTGCAGGATGTTAGTGTGTATCTCGGAGCAGCTCCTATTGTTGAGTGTCTTCAGAATTTCAGACCGAATGTAATTATTACTTCTCGAGTTGCTGATGCTTCCTTATTCTTAGCCCCAATGGTATGATAGTTGATTCCTTTTCAAATACCCCTGGCAATGACATTTATCTTTTCACTTGTACCAAATATAATCCTTTTACGGTATAATTTAGAGTCACTTCCCTTTCTGAGAGTAACAACTGATGGAAACTACTCACCTTTCCACATCTTAAGCTACTGAAATTGCTATTATGTCAAGTTATTGAAATTTGTTTAAGAAGCCAAATTCATGTACAGCAAAGTTACCTCTCCTTTATTGTATTCTTTTGACTCATCAAAGTTTTATCTATTATTATGATGAGCATATAAAATGGCACTTTTCAGTTGCACATGAAAAGTGTTATTAGGATGGGGCATTTTTCATCTTATA